ACTCTCTCTGAGTCTTCCTCCAAGCTTCCCTGCCGAAACGCCCTGCGAAGGAGGGAACTGAACACAGAGGTGCACAGGGTAAGTGGCCCTCCAGATGCTCAGTACTTTGACAAGCACAAGCATGCAGAAGACTAATCACAAATTTAGCAATCCGACTGAAAAATCCTGCTGTCCCACCCGCTGCAACTGGTCCATGACCGAGAGCCCCGGGCATTGCAGAACCCAGCAGTATCAGTGATAAATTCCTGCTGGTGTTGTCTGGCACTTGAAATTTTTTGCATCGGGTGTTGAGAACTACAGCTCCAGTTCCGAAAGCAGCAAGATCTTCACCACAGACCAAAGCAAGACCCGTCCTCCACCCAGCGCCCGCAGGTCCGAGCTCCTTGGAGGTGTCAGGCACTGCAGCACCTCACCTCCTCCCTCCGCAAAACGAACGAACGACGGAGTTTGAATGGAAGTAAACGAGAGCCGTGGGTCTCCAGGTGAGCACGCTGCCAGCCAGCTAAGGGCATCCGCATTCTCTGCTGGACATTACGGGTGGTTTACTGCACCTGGAATGAACAGCTTCAGGTGAAGGTCAACTCCGGAACACACAAGGCCTGGAACCAGTTTCCAGCATCCTCAGGGGACAATCAAACCCTTCGTCCCCCACAGATCTGTTGGGAATGGGGAGGAAGCTTCCCAGTGGTATCTCGAGTCTCGCATTAATTAATTATATTAATAACACCCACACTGGCAGATTACTACACCTTTCATGTATGAGGGCAAGAAATCTCTCCTTCCACCATCTTCTCTCCTCCTCACGTATTTGCACTTTAAATTCTCTGGGGCATGAACTATCTGTGGTTTGGCACAAGGTCTAGCAGAACAGGCCTTGATTTGGCACAAAAAGCAATAAACTGAAAACAACAACTTTGCTAACCAGCTTGGGAAACTAAATGTCAAATGGAAAACTGAAAAAGTCAGATGCAGATTTAGGAATTAAGAAACAAGTAAATGACAGAGTATTGTCAGGGGTGGGGAGAGGATGATGTGCATCAGGCAAAATAGAAGGGAGAAAGCTATGATTAGCTGCATTTATTATGACAGTGTCTTTCCAATAATTAAGACTGCAGTCCCACTGTGACAGGGACATATAAAAACTCAGCCCCTGGACAATTACAGTGTAAACAGACACGAGACAAAGGACAAGGAGAAAGAGTACAACGAACCCTCAGAAAGACCAAGTTAATTAAGGACACACAGCATGAGAAGGCCGTGCTATTTCTTGGCACGCTAAATTTAATTAGAAAGGCACGAAGCAAAACAAACATCAGGTTTAAACTCAACACATTTAAACAAAGGGAAGAGAGAAGGAATGCAAGTTTTAGGCTCCAGAGCACCTTGCTTTCACGCAGGTAGTTTTTATCACAGCGAAGGGGGTTATTAGCTTTATTGCTCCCGCTACCATTGCTGAAAGTTTTCTGCCTCGTGGGGATGGTTCTCCGAGAGGCAGCAGCAGCTAACTGGGAGCGGGGCCGCTGACGAGCTCTCCTCTAATGCATACCGCAGGGCTAAAGATGAATAAAAACATTAAAAAAACATATCTCTCTCCAGGCTTCCGCTCTTTGCCACAACTTCTCTTCACGGTTATTCAAATCCCACGCTTGATTCCCAGACCATGAAAAGAGCAGGAAAAAGCATTTTTGTCCCGCGTTTTCTTATTGCGGAGTATTTCCCTCTCCGCAACCGGCGACTGTTGGATTTCAGTAGTTTACGTTTGCAGAGCGTCGAACCGAGCTCCGTCCTCCCACGGTGCTCTGCGGCTACCCTTGGTGGCAGTGCCTGTCCCCGAGGCCCACGGGCATGAGGGCGTGAAGCCCGAGCGAAGCCAAGGGACGAGCAGCAGGGCGGGACGGGACGGGACGGGACAGGACGGGACGGGACGGGATGGGAAGAATGGGCGCTGCTTGCAGTGCAACAGGCGAAGTCACGGCCGTTGGCCGGGCCGCTAACGCAGCGCTCGCTCCG